CATGTAACTCGTCCAACCTATCGGTGAAAAGAGGTCCAAAATTCTCAAATTACCCAAAAAAACGACGATCTTGAGACTTGGAAAGGTGCCTGACGAGTGCCTCACGACGATTTCATTTTGAATGGAACCTGCTGCTGACCGCATCATAGCTTGGCACGTAAAGAACTGTCAGATGAAGGGTGAAATTAGAAATATGCAAGAATTAAGCTCATTGTACAGTGACAATGTATGAGGTGTAAAGATCCTTGCCATTGCAATTATGGTCAGGATCCCTGTCAACTCATAGTGTCAAACTAGTTGTACAAGCAGCATGATTGAATATACAATGCTGATGAGATCACAAGCGATGTGCATTATCATTGTGAAAATGTTTTTGTTGGAAATTGTAGTTACCATCTCCATAAGATGCCATCGTGAGGGGAGATGACAAAAGCTTCTGTACTATGGAAGCAATATCCTTAGCAGTAACTTCATCTACAGCTTTCAAGAAATGCTCGACGGGTTTCCTGTAGATGGGAAAGCAAATACATATATATTTGACCTAAACCTTGATATTCTGCTGAACAGATATCTAACATCAATATTTAAATCTAGTTTCCCTCCTTTTTTTTAATCAAAGTAGTAAGAGCACTAAATAAGAACGAACTTTTCCAAATCAAATTAGGGTCAACAATTGTCGAATATTCGCTATTATTATGCACTGAAAGAAGCAAGTTTTAGAAAGATATTTTGCCAATCAAAAAGAAATAACTCCAATGCATTAATAGTTCTTAAAATCCAAAATCGAATGGGGTCAATCCATAACAAGTTTATTCATCTTATTTGGCCTAGACGTAAATAGTAGGTTAGATTATAACCCAGATGTTTTGTTAGATCTCCTATATTGCCCTCAGTAATAACTATGCACAGGTCATGTAACAAAGATGTTAACGCTATTTTTCTCCCAGCCCCGAGAAGTTGACGTTGTCAAAGTTGCCACCACCTTAACCAATAATAAAGTACAAATATCTGAACCCCTTTGTTTCCCTTTAAGCGAGTCATGCTTTATAGCACTTCATGCTCTACTCAAGTAATATGCTTCTCCAGCACTCAAAAGTACATGCACGTCAATATTAGGCATGTTAAGAACTGGATTTGTTGGTTGACAATGTTCTGGTAACCTTTGATGGAAGTTCTCCTCACTACATTGACACGTTTTCAGGAAAAAAAGATGATAGAATTTATTAATGTTCATTATGTTTTGTTATACAAAGTCCAAGTCCAGACAGTTTTCAGTGGGTGACTCGAAATAGATCTTGCTCAATTAACCAGCTCGTTCCTATATCATTCAATACATCAGAAAGTCACCCTGTTTCTTAGGACATTATTTTTATCAGATACAGTTACACTTTCTAGAAATCCTGATTCCAGCCCATTGACGTTCATTTCAATTCAATAATAATGCATTATTTCTATAGAAAACAATTTTCAAGTCTCATCCTAAGTGCTGAGGCTCTTTTCAGTTATGGTAAAAATTATATGCTTCACTCTCATTTGTTTCCTACACAACATCTTCATATTTCATACCATTAACATCCATTTACGAAAATTACCAAGGAATGCAGAGTCCAGCAAGGAAAAGAAGATCAACTCAGCCCCTGTTCGGTTTTACTCAAAAATCAGATTTTTAGTAGATTTGATAAAAGCTGAAATGTGTGGCTGAAAAGTGATAAATGGTGTGGGTCCCATGAAACGTGTAGTTTTCCCCCCCAGGGGGGGCAGCATTCCGGGGGCCAGTTAGCTCAAAAATATTTTAAGAAGTCTTCAAGGTCCGGACTAATTACATAATGTCAATTTTTTTATGGATGAAAATGTTACAAAGGAAAAAGGAAAGTTTCTTTTTTTCGCTGTCAATTATCTTTTTCCATACATGTAACTTTACAATCTATAGCTCTAGTCATTAATAATTTTTTCACCTCAGAAATTCAACCCTAGATGACATGCCAAAAGCAAATTATCTTACAAGATTGCATTGTTGTTTCCTTATTTCGACGAGAAGCAAAAGGGAAACAAGAATAACTACTTAAAATTATTTTTAATGAAGTAGAGATGATTGGGTGAGGAGCAAAGAGGATACAAGACATCAATTTGTTCAACCACCATGCACTTCCAGTCAGTTATCATTAGCATCATATTCTTCCGTGCAGAGTCATAACAGTACATACCTCTCTCCATATGTCAAAATTTGTTTACCTATATCTTCTGATGCAACCATCTGCAATATTCATATGCACAGTAAATAGATTATACAAAAAAATTGCAGAAAACATAATATCCATTGAAGATCTGTAACTTTAGTCAACAGATTTTAGATTTAAAATGATGTATGAAAATTTTGTGTACTCTGGATTCCAGGTTCATCAAAATGGCAGATTTTGTCGATTGTTTAGCACGGTCGAGCTGTACTTGGTCAACTGCATTTAAGAAGATGAGGAAAACAAGTTGGTTCAACAAAAAAATCATATGAATAAGATTACCAAAATTACCATTAGCAGAAAATTTTCCCTACTTTGAGTACGAATAACCACCACAATGCAGGTTTTTAATCATTCAAGAAAATTTAGGAGATTATATTACAGCATCCATTCAGAATTAATAATCACAAAACTAAAAGCATGAATATAATACATAAATGCTATCAAATCAAAGAAAATAATATTCAGTGAAGTCTATGGCCAACCTTCTCCTGGAGTAGCAACAGAAATGAGTTCTCTAACTGCTATATCAATGGCATTCGTTGCAAAGTCAGATCCCTGAATCCAAAAAGTGGTTTATTCATTTCCAATTTAAATCCAGAAGGAAAAGAAAGCCATAATGCGGGCAAGTAAAAAGGGCAATGGTTAGTTGCTTAGTCAAGCAACTTGCACTAGATTTTGCTTTAATTTTTTATCGGTGATCCAAAAAATAATGAACTCTTTTATCACCAGAAAAGATAATATATTTTACTGAGAAATCAGGAACTTAAAAGACAATACACCTTGGTAAAATCACAGTAATTAATATAATCCCTCCCCAAAACATAAGAGATTTTAGAAGGTTTTGGGTGGAAACTGGAGAATATTTGGAACATCTTTTGGTAGAATCCAGAATCCTTTTACCAAAAAATAATGATAAACTTGATCAAGTACTTGTTCTGCAGGTACACAGGCTATGATGCACCGACACGGACAAGTGTGTCTGACACGATACGTGTTAGATACGTCGACTCGTGATTTTTCAAAAAAGTACAGACACAACACGTTCATTAAATTCTTTAAAATTCTTCATTTATATAGTTTAAATTTAGTTTATACTTATTATTGATTTTTTAGGTTGAAATCTTTTTAATAATACTTATTTGTTATTTACTAATAACTTTGAGTTAAAAATATATAATAGCTATAGTAAGAAAGGAAAATGATTATTGTAGAGTTTCCGAAAAGTGTGCCATTCTATTTTGTTCGTTGCCAGATCCACAGATCTAAAGAAACTAGATTGTAGGCTATAAATGAACATAAACCAAAATTAACTTAAGCAACATGCATGACTTTTGCAGTCCAGTCTCAGAACTCATTCAAAAGTCGGAAAATTTAATGCCAAGGACCAATTTTGAATGCTTGAGTGACAATTAAAATATTTAGAAAAGAGTTCTATCCCTAAACATAATACTTGCCTAGTGAAAGGCGTAATATCCTATCAGTAACTTCTGTGTACTGTGACAAAATGCATTGCTCTAACATGTTGAACACAACCGGTTATCCTACAAAACCACACCAAAATTGTTTTTAGATGCTAACATCTAACCCATAATTAATGTGCCATCAATTTATAGGTCAAACCAGATTTGACTATAAGACAACTTAGTATTTTCTGCCACTTTAACATAGGATAAAAGAAGTTCTAGGTTTCCTAGGTTACATTGATTTGATGCCCTCCAAATCAAATAGAGTGAGGTTTGGTTCAGTATTATGTCCATCTTTCTGGGTTTATGCGTGTATAATTGTATTACTATTTTCTAGGCTCACCATTGCCAGCATCCCTCTCATGCCTTGTAACCTCTATACAAAAACCTTTTTTCCTTTGTTTTTTCATCAATCCACTACCCTCTAGCTGATATACATCCTCTAATTTAATAGGTGAGGCTGTTAGGTGTTTCACAACCAGAAGCCCTTTTAAAGTACCAAACCTAAATGTTCAAAAGGATTTCACAAACATCCCTAATAAAAAAATGAAACAAATGGAAGGCTAAAACCATAAAAGAATAATCCATCAAAATCCAAATCAAATAGAACAATTTGATCCAAACAGCAAATATTATATAAGAAAGCTGCAACATTACAGGGAAAAAAATAATTCAATAAACAAAATCCTTGTAAAATAAAATTTAAATAATTCCTTACAGTTGAAGCTTGAATTCCAAATAATCCAGTATGATTGTAAATGGAACTGAATGCAGAAAAGGACTGAATCTGGGGATGCTCATTGAGCACACGCAGATCTGCTCATCAATAGAAAGAGCATATAAATGAATTGACGAATCTATTTTCAAAAAATTATATGCAGAAATGAAGACGCCATAATGCAAAATGAAATTCAGCACACGTAGATGTGTATTTAAACACATTTATAGGTGAGTTGAGCATTACATAAGTGGAGAACCACGTTAATTTTATCAGATACATAAACATAACTTACATAATCTCGAGTACATTCCCTTTCCAGGACCACCAGCTGAGAAAGATCCACCTACTAAAATGATTAGGTAAAATAATGGCAACCCACATAGTCTAGAGTACATCCCCTTTCCAGGACCACCAGCTGAGAAAGATCCACCTCCTCCCATAAGCATCTACATGATCAATACAATCAGTAATTCCTTACAAGACAGTATCCAAACCAAAACAAAACCGTGAAAGAAACGAGAACGATCAATATAGAACAAGGGGGGGCCAGAAGGCGCAAAACGAGAAAGATAAAGAAACAAGCATTCGTGTTATCTCTATTCAGAATAAGCATTAGATAGAAAGAAGCATATGCAAATAAATCATTGGATACTTGCTGAAATTCATAAATTAGTGATGTGCACGACCTCATGAGGTCTTATATTCCAAAAAAGCAAAAAAAGGAAGAATCAATGGTTAAAAGAAAGCACCTGAAGAACAGTCAAAATTATGGAATCCTTTTCCTTGGCCCAGCCCCCAAGAAGTTCGAAGGCAAGAGCAAAGTGAGTCACCTGATCAGAATTTGAAAAACATTGTTACCACTATTCAGGTTCATAGCAGGAAGTGAAATAAAACAGGAAACTTCAGATACACACCCCTGAATCCCCTTGATGGCGAAAATCACCACCAGTGTAAACAGGCTTTGGCTCCGAAGGGCGGGGTACATTGGGTAAGTCAGATAGAAGTGGCTCCGCATATTTTAGTAGCTCGTCATGTTCAACACCCGACGCGGCAAGGACCATCCTGGAAGCAGTGTAATTTTCCTAAACAATGTAAAACACAATTAGCATAAATTTGTCCTTAATGATTGTACTTATCTGTAAAGATGGACAAGAAAAGAACGAAGAAACTAAAAAGATGGATGCATTATGGAGAGTCAGCGACTCACAGCAACAAACTCCTCCAAAACTGTACTATTCAATCTGTTAACTGCAGATTCTGAAGCCAAAAGAGAATTTGCATAGGGACCCGAGTAACCTGCTGAATGAATAGCCTCCAAAAGTACATGTTGAGGATTTTTGGAGTACTCGCTAATCTCAGCGCTCATCTTCTGGAGCTGTAAATGATATAACCATATTTTATTGAACAACCTATAAAATTTGAGCAGCAATTTCCAAGATGGAGACAAACGATACCTGTTCGCTAACCTCCCAGTCTAAAAAAGCAGGGTTCCTCACACAGTCAACAAGGAGCTCTACCATTTGAGGAACATAAGTCTTCAGAGCATCGTAGGTGTAACTCATATGCTCCCTAGAGACTGAAGAAGTCACATTGCCACCAATTGCCTCAACTTCACGCACAATGCGCAAGTGGCTCCGGTTAGTAGTAGTCTTAAAAGCCATGCGTTCTAAGAGGTGCGTGGCTCCAAATGAAGCCGGAGTTTCGTAGATTGAGCCACAATCAACATATAATCCAATTGAAGGAAGTGCAATATCCTTAAGAGGGAAGTCTAGAGGAACAGAAGAGGATCGTTCACCCGTCAACCAGCTAAAGAAACTGCCTGATGTTGATTTGGTTGCAACAGCACTTGTACTCACAAATCTAGCCAACCCTCTATGCCCCATTCCACCCTGTGATGTAATTTGATGATGATTTTTACAATGTGACAAGAAAACTTCTGTCAGAGTACTGTTGGAATACAACATTAAAAATAAAAAATAATAATAATAAAAAATAAATGATCATTGACTATCTTATAGACATAAATGTATTCCTAACTATAATCAATGTTGTGATTTGAAAGACTGATTTCATTCTCATAGATGGAATTAAAGATTCGATATTCATATTAAAACAAACGAATCCAATTACACTTGCATCTTCAAACGTACAAGTAGCATAGGTACACCTAATGAGCCCCAGGCCAAATTTTCCCTTCATTCGTGCAACTAAACCAAAGAAATGCCCAAGAATGTCCCGAGGAAAAGTAACAACGACAAAATAATAAAGATTAATTATATATCCTTTTAACCATCTTCCCAGTTCTTAGAATCAAGCATTACGGGGGGAAAAAACAAAAAGAATCAACTTTTATTCAAAAAAGCAGCATATTTTTTCAATACAAATAAATACACAAAATAAAAAATAAATAATCTTTTTTTATGATATGCAATACAAAATGCATCAATCACCAGATATTCGAAATAACCATATCTGAGCAACCTTCAGATCTAACTTCTGAACAATAAATCACAAATAGACCGATAAGATACAAACACATACATATATACAAGTGACCAATAAGTGAGTAAGAAATCGAGTAAAATTGTGCGTGTAAATACTTGGAGCTATTATTAAGAGAGGAAAATCTGACCTTGAGAGCCCTAAGGCGAGAAGCCGTGGTTCTATACATGCTGAAGGCGATGATCTATAGGTAATTGAAAAAAAATGGTGATTATCCGAAGAGACTGCGAGGGTTAGGGATCGAAAAAATTGCAGTCAAGACTGCAAAAATGAGAAGTTTTTTTTTTTTATTATTTCGAGTATTTTAGGGAGGGGAAAGGCCAACAATAGACTCCGTCTCGTGGGATGCGTTTACACGTGCGAGCTCAATGCGAGTCTCGAGATAGCAATCAAACTCGTCGGTTCGAATCACCAATGACTTGGATTGGAAAAAGTCCGAGTCAACCTGGCTCGGAGGCACCGAGCCCCATTTCGGGGAGTCAGCTCGACGAGCCACACGAGCCGACCCATAAGAATTTTTGCAAATTGAACATTGACCCATTCGTTATTAGTAAACTTACTATTGGTTTAATGATTGAATTAAGGGCATTCATTTTTCCTTAAAGAAAATGTAAGGTTGAGGAATTGCACTAATTGATTAAAAGTCCAAGTATTCAATTTGTATAACTGGGCATTTTTGTTTAGATCTTTGCATGGTTTTTTTATATATATATATATATACACACACACACACATATATATCAACATTTTTGACTGCCAGTTAAGGGTAGCTTTATAGCTGCCTCAACATGAGGCTGCCTGTTGAGGCAGCATTTTTTCTGTCAATTAAGGCAGCTAATTATAGCTGGTAGCAAATTTGCTGTCGGTCGACTGTCTTTCTGCTGCCTATTGCTGTCGGTCGACTGTCTTTCTGCTGCCAATAGGCAGCTATGGATATTAAAAAAATGGGGGATTTGATAAAAAAGTCTAGTCAAACAATGATTTTGATAAAATAGCCTTCCTTCAATATTTCTTGGTCAAATGGCTTTCATTTATAAAATACAATAAACAAATAATGTCAAATATCTAAAATACCCTCATCATGGAAAATACCCAAATACCCCTTTCAATCTAATTAAATCCCTCAATTCATCTACAAAATGCATTAACCTGTTTTCCCTGTGATTTCTTCCCTAAAATCTTGATATTCATTGTATTTTTCTTCTATCTTCTCCAACATTGTGAGCATTTGAACAAGAATTTTATTATCTATATTATCTACATTGAGATTTCCACTATATTTAAAGAAAAAAGAAAGGTATTTTTAGAAATCTCATTTACATTGGTACTTTTATTGTTTAATATAGTATAAAATGATATTTTAATTGATTTTATTTTCTCATTTGGTGTATATTTGGATCGTCCGCAACTATTGGACGATAACGATTGGAAACGACAGTCCAGTCGTTATTTGTAGTGTAGAACGACACTACAGTCGTTATCCTCCATGTAAAGTGACAGTACAACCATTATCTGTTATGATCTGTCTCTTATTGATAATATATTGTGGTTACTTTGATAATTTAAATATTGTAACTATTTTCATATTATTTTAATATATACTTGAATCGATGAAGTCATAATGATAGATATTTATTTTTTGTTATAACAAAATATCACGGTACCATTTCGAGTATTTTACCTAAAAAATATAGAAATGATGTTTAGATATTAAATATCATTGATCTAGTAACAATTTATTTTTAAATATACAAGTTATCAATTATTCGTATCGTGTTTACATAAGTAACGACACTTGTGCTGTTTTCATAACAGTAACATCACTAGTGTTGTTCTCATTTTTCCTGTTGTCCAAGCAATGAGAGTATCTTTCAAATTATGTGAGCGGCATGTCCATTTCGCAAATTACATGAGTTCAAATTATGGAATATCGAGGTCTGGAAGGCGTGTGACAACTCATACTCTTGTTTATCGACAGAACGACACAAGTAACGTTTAATGGTATCTATGTTGTTCTGTTGGTTTCTCCTATATTTCGCTTTATTTTCACCGCGTCGACCTTAAGGATCGGGCCTCCTAACTTAAGAAGGTCAAAATTATTAATTACGTAACAAATAACAGAAGAATTGGCATAGATTGTAGATATCGCGTTGGTGAAATCACAAGTCACCATCCACATTCATTAGAAAACTAAAGTAATGAGGGTATCTCCCAAATTATGTGAGCAACATGTACATCTCGCCACTCGTATGAGTTCAACTTCTCGAATATAGGGGTCCAGAAGGCTCGTGGCTACTCAAACTCGTGTTTATTGACA